ATTGCTTGTTGGCCATCTATGTCTTATTTATTTCCTTTTATTTGAGAATGAATAAAAATGCTTTGTCAAGTCTGAAATGAGCTTTTAAAAGCTCATTCAGACTTGACAAAGCATTTTTATTCATGTTGTCATAATTGTTTTTAGTAGAATTAATTACACTCAATCTGTGTTAAACCTACATACCAAGTAATCTGTTTATATGGGCCCACTCCTAGGGTCAATAAAAAAAATTGTTATGGGAGACATTTCTGATGTGGTTTGTTAGCGTGGGCTCACCCAAGGTATCTTATTTAAGTGACAACTTGGTGTTCTACAAGGAGTGAAAGACCGGTGAACTTAGTGGCCCCCAGGCTACTTTGCTGAAAGCCATCAACAGGACCCTCAGGACCACTCCACCAAGGGATCGCAGGAACAGAGTGACTGCTATGTGGAGACAGGCTATGAAGTAGCAGAAGGTGGGACAGATGGCAGGTGAGAGAGTTGTCAGTATCCAGGCTGAGGTCAAGGCAGGCGATCAACAAGAGTGGACAGTATCAAGGCTTAGGTTGGGGCAGGTGGCAGACGGGAGTGGTCAGTACCCGGGTTAAAGTGAGGCAGGTGGCAAACAAGAGGGTGGTTGGTATCTAGGCTAGGGTCAAGACAGGCAACAGACAGAGTATTAGGCATTGGCAAGGGGCAGGAAACATGAGCAAGGTCAGGCACCCAGGGTTGGCAACAGGCACATCAGGAACAACATGAATCTTAGCACACAAGGTAGCTGGGAAGTAGACACAGCATGAGCCACTAGGAGGGAAGACATTTAAATACCTTCCAAGGCCTATGAGAAGTCCCAGCATGAGAGACACATGCCACTGCTCACTTACACACACACGCTCTGACACACAAATGCACACACTCATACGCAGAACTGGCCATAGCCAAAGGCCAGAAAACTGGTGCACGTGAAATGCTGCAGACAGGACAGGCCATGCCCTGGCTGTACAGATGCAGACCCCTGGAGGTACAGTAATGAAAATGTTGTATAGTAGAACCTATAAATATGTAAGTGTAAATAGATACATTGGCTTTATGGTTTTAAGACATTAGAGGGGAAAAAATACCTATTTGGCTGTACCACCTCAATATTTTTTGCCTAGGCTTGGAAACCACACGAGGATGTCTGGTGAATTAAATGGCCAATATGAAATAGTTACATAGTATTTGGGGTTGAATAAAGACATGCATCCATCAAGTTCAACCCATATAGGTCCACGCATCATCCTCACGTACACACAACCTCATCTATGCCCATATCCCTTAGCTTGTGAAGTAAGCGCTTGTGTGGTACCGTATCAACTGCTTTTGAGAAATCCAGATATACCACATTCACCGGCCTCCCTCCATCCATACCTCTACTTACCCCCTCATAAAAAGTTAGCAAGTTGATTGTCATTAAATATGCCCTTATGCTTAACAAATTTTACCTAATAGTCCTTAATTATACCTTCTAATAGTTTACAAACTACCGATGTTAGACTGCCCGGCCTATAGTTCCCTGGTTGGCATCTAGCCCCCTTTTTGAATATTGGAACTACCGTAGCCCTCCGTCAATCACATGGTACCCTACCAGTCACTAAGGATTCCTTATATTAGTAGCCCAATCATGTGTGCCGTCTAGCCAGGTCTCCGATATACCCACTATATCGAAGTCCTCTTCGAGTATCATAATTTCAAGCTCTTCTAATTTAGTTACTAGACTTCTAGCGTTGGTGTACATAAATTTAATTTCTGTCTTGTTATGGGACAAAAGTTTATATCCTACTTGTTCCCCACTAGTTTTATTGTTTGGCCTTGATGTTGGTTGTTTGTTTCTTATTTTATTCACTTCTGACAACTTATTTGCTACATTGACTGTTTCTGCTATTTTAACCTCGGTGATTACTTTAGCTGTGTTGACTGGAGTGAGCCCACTATCTATTCCTCTATTACTTCTTTCTGTATTATTATTTTTTTTATCTAAGAAGAATTTATCTCCATTTGATTTAAGTAATTTTATTTTTAAGCCCACCCCCCCATTTCCTAGTTTAAAAGCTCCTCCAGTCTTTCTACCATTTTCCCCCCCAGAAATGCTGCACCTCCCCCATTAAGGTGCAGCCCGTCTCTGCTGTAGAGCCGGTAGCCGACTGCGAAGTCAGCCCAGTTCTCCAGGAAACCAAATCCCTCCTTCTGACACCAGCTCCGGAGCCACTTGTTAAGCTCCCTCAACTCGCGCTGTCTGTCCGGAGTGGCTCTTGGCACCGGTAGTATCTCTGAGAAAACTACCGTGGAGGTCCTTTCCTTCATCCTAGCACCTAGGTCTCTGAACTCCCTTTTTAGGACACTCCAGTTTCCTCCTATTTTGTCATTGGTGCCGATGTGCACCATGACAACGGGGTCGTGCCCAACCCCATCCAGTAATCTGTCAATTCGTTCCGCAATGTGTCGAACACGAGCCCCCGGCAGGCAGCACACTGTTCGACGCTCACGGTTCCGATGACAGATTACCCTGTCAGTCCGCCTGATGATGGAGTCTCCCACCACCAGAATCTGCCTCTCCTGACCCTCCATCCGACTCCCCTCCTTGCTGGAGCAGTCACTCCCCCTCCGGATAGAAGATGCGTCCTGCTCCAGCAGAGTCCCCCCTGAACTAGTATCTCCAACATCATGCAACTTGGCAAACTTATTGGGGTGAACCAGATCAGGGCTGACATCTCTAGCACTCTTCCCTCTCCCCCGCCTTCTAACAGTAACCCAGCTCCCCACCTCGGGATCCTGCTCCTCCAACCCCCCTCCACCACAGTCTGGTGCGTTATGTCCAGACTCTTTTCCATGACTGTTATGCTCCTTAGTGTTGCCAGTTCCTTGCTTAGATCCAGAATCTGGGTTTCCAAACAAGCAACTCGCTCACATCTCGCGCAAATGTATTCCCCCTCGAATGGATGTTCAAGGAACGCATACATTGCGCACTACATGCACCTGGTTGCACACCCACTCATGGAAGACATTATTTTATTTCACCCTTCTTATTTATGTATTTACTTTTTATATTATTTTTATGTAAATCGAGACTACTTATTTGTGTATTTATTTATCTAAGGTTTAGTGGTTCACAAATGGCACGTTCAATAACTTGTTTGTTAAACTAAATTTAATTTATACCACCGCCCTGGAATAAGTTACCACCGCCCTGGAATATGTTATAGTATCTCCCAGTGATTAGCTTTCACTCTGCCCTGCGGTTAAATTATATTAAATGAAATTTAATTAAATTGCACTTGCGACTAGGGGTTGGATTTATTTTATTTTTGTTTATTTTTTAGTTGTTGTTTTTTTTTGTTTTTCATTTTTTTTGCACTGTGACAGTACTGTAATACTTTATAATACTAACAGTTTAATATAACACTAACAGTACAGTATATGCAATATACTAAAGTAGCCCCCCCTTCTTTTTTTTTATGTTAATCACTCTCACTATACGTTAAACACTACTCAATTACCTTCTAACTCTCTTACCCCCTTCTAACTCTCTTGCCTCCGTCCTCTGGTCACCACTGATGTTGTCCTCTGGTCACCCTGACTGCTGTGTTCCGACCTCCGGTCCCGCTGCTCACTTGATTTGGTGCTACCGTCCACCCCCGATGCACAGCCTTCGTCCTCCAAGGCCGACCGGTCCCTACGCCCGTCCGTCCCTGCGACCTCCGGTCTCCCTCAGCTCTGCTCCACGTCCGTGTCCGTCTTCGCCAGCGGTGCTCTTCCTCCTGCTGACCTCTGGTCCCTCCTCTCTGGTCCCGCAGCTCCCCGGTCCCGCCGACAGCCGTCCTCC